CCAACTCTAGAAGTTTCTGGTACATGTTTGTCATTATACGACTCTCTTTTTCCTTCATCCTGAGAAGGATGCCATTTTAATCTAACACACGGTACCGCTGCCACAAATGGCCCATGTGTTTCTGGATCTCAAGTGACACATTAGCATAGCAGGAATTCCTTTAAGGAACAGTACCTCTTGTGGTTAAAAATAAGTGAAAAGTAGGTGCTTTTAATATATCTTTGCTTGTCTTATAAATCTTTTGTTTAAGTCTAAATGTAGAGAGTTGAGATTTCAGTGAGAAAGTCAAGATTGGCTTTGGCTGTTAAAAATGGAGTATGGGATCTGTTGATGCATGATAAACTTGGCACCTCTCCTGAGAGTAGGTTCAAAATCTGGCTTTAAGAACCAGACTTTCAGTTTGAACATTTGAATTAGAATATGAGAAAATGAACTGAGAACTTTATATGTTCATATAAATGTATATAAAATTTTTTCTTTCCAAAAATTATTTTCCACAAATTAATTTTTAACTCACTGATACTTCATTGTTACATTTCATTTAAAAGATATCTTGGGCTGGATGCAGTAGCTCATGCCTGTCATCCCTGCACTTTGGGACACTGAGGAGGGAAGACTGCTTGAGCACAGGAGTTTGGACTATACCACTGCACTGCAGCCTGGGGGGCAGATGAAGACCTTGTCTCTAAATAAATAAATATAAAGTTAAACAAAAATTTTTTTTTCAGACTAAGAGTTCCACTTAGTTGCCCTCAGTAGAGTGCTGTGGCATCACATCTCACAGCAACCTCAGACTCTAGGACTCAAGCAATTCTCTTGCCTTAGCCTCCCAAGTAGCTGAGACTACAGGCACCTGCCACAATGCCAGCTACTTGGGGGTGGGGGGGGTGGGGACAGGGTCTCGTTCTTGCTCAGGCTAGTCTTGAACTCCTCAAGCAATCCACCCGCCTGGGCCTGTCAGAGTGCTGGGATTACAGGCGTGAGCCCCCATGCCTGGCCAAAGTTTTAAAATTTTAAAATATTTTTGATAGAAAAGGAGAGTGGTAGTCATGGCTATAAAGGAGTAGCTGAAAGGACACTTGTGATGATGAATTACTCCTATATCTTGATTGTGGTAGTGGTTACATAAATGTGCACATGTAATAAAACATCATAGAACTATATACACACACAAATAAGTGCATGTATAACTGAAGAAATCTGAACAAGCCATGGTAGACGCTGGGTGAAGGGTATACTTTCTGTCATTGTACATACCTTTGTAATTATCTCAAAAAAGATTAAAAAATAATTTATTTTAAATCAATGACAAAAGCGATACATGCTTATAATTAAAAGAATCAACTTTTTCCAACCCCTACCCACTTCTCAGTAGAATCCCTGTTAACAGGTATATTTCCAGACATTTTCAAGGACATGTAAATTCGGATAAGAGGTCCGGCAATTACCCAGATTATAACACTTTATCCTCTCCATCCTTTCTATTATATAGGAAGAACTGTTTCTAGTTTTCGGCTTTTTCAAAAAGAAGCTTCCTGTTGGTAATACTATAAGGTAGATTTCTCAGAGTGAAAATATTGAACAAAAGGTTATAAGTCATTTAAATTTCTAAAGATCAAGCAAAACAGGAGACTATACAAACTAAGTTCCTATTAATAGAGCATATTAATATTTAATACCTGTATTAATATTTAATTCCTGTATATCCAACAGGCATATATTCAATATTAAATATTAACTACTCAAGTTTATTAACTATTTTCCTGTATATTCAACACCACTGGGCACTATTTTTTCATTTTCGTCAGTTTGAGTTAAAAATTGTTTTTTAAATATTTTCCTGATTACTTTAGAAATAAAATATTTTTGTTACTTTCTTTAACTTTTCAGTAATTTTATCAAATTTTTAATTTAAAAAGTTTTCCTACTCATTTGTTTCACCTTTTTGTACTGTGAACATCAAGCTTTTGTTACTATGTTTGCTGTGAATGCTGGCTCTCAATCTTTTTGGTTCTTTTATTTTGCTTACGGTGTTCTGTTCAGTGCTTCAACTGACTGGATAAGGTCCACTCACGTTATGGGAGATAATCTACTTCACTCAAAGTTTAATAACAACGTTAATCTGATCATCCAAAAACACCCTCAGAGAAACCTAAAGAATGATGTTTGACCGTGTGTCTAGGCACCATGGACGAGCCAACTTGGCAATCATTCAACACATATTTATTGAGTACCTGATATGGCAGATGTTGTACTAAGCTCTGAGGATCCAACAGTGAACAGTTGCTTACTATCCTGAAAAAAGAATAAAAATAAAAAAGTAAAAAGTAAAGAAACAAGATAATTATTATGATAAATAAAATGAGGGTATTACGGAGAGAAAGTTGCTCTGGGTTGAATAATGATGGCCATTTAGATTGGGTCATCAAATAAGCTCCAGATTGTTCACTGTTAAGTAAAATGTTTGCTATGGTTTATAGTAAACAACCACTATTAAAACATCAAATTTTTAATTTAATACTAACTAAAAGTTTTTTAATAGGAAGGGTATTATATGTTATTAAATATTTTTCAGCCATCTATTACCATGTTCATGTTTTTTGTTTGTTGATTTTGTTTTGTTTTTGCTGCATCCGTCTGTAATGGATTACATTAATAGTATTCTAAGTGTGAAACGTTATAAAAACCCCAAGGTCATCACATATTATTACTTTAATAAATGGCTGAATTAATTGTGCTAATATTTAATTTAGGATATTTCTAACTATAGCCCACAGGCCAAATCTGGGCCATCACCATTATTTGTTCAGCCTGCAAACCAAGAAGTGGTTGGAAAAAAAATCAAAAGAACAACAATATTTCACAACTTGTGAAATATATGACATTCAAATTGTGATCCATAAATAAAGCTTTGAGAGTAGTTTCCTATTGTGGCTGTGACATGTTACCACAGATGGGGTGGTCAAAACAAGACAAATGTATTCTTTTACAGGTCTGGAGTTCAGACCCGGGTATCAGTTTCATTGGGCCAATGTCAAGTTATTGGCGAGGCTGGTTCCTTCTGGAATCTCTAAGGGAGAAAACTGCTTGCCTTTTCTGGCTTCTCGAGCTGCATTCCTCGCGTTTCTGCGCTGGGCCTCCTCCCTGGGTCTTCCCAGCCAGCAGCGAGGCCTCCTCAAACCCGTTTCCTTGTTGCGCTGCTTTCTGCCTCTCCAAATGGTGCGGCTGTATTATTATTCATCACAGCCCCACAGTGGAGACCGTGCAAACCCACCAGCTGGTGAATGGATACACAGAGTGGCTGAATACTAGTGAGAAATAACAAAATGTGGGAAGGAACCAAGTGCCGCTGCGCGCTGCGACACGGATGAACCTGGAGAACATGATTCTTGGCGCCAAGAAGCCGACACAAAGTCCCTGCAGGGTACAAGGCCCGCGTATAGGAAGTGTCTGGAAAAAACAAATCTGTGGACACAGAAAGCACTTTGGGGGCTGCCCAGAGCTAAGAGGAGGAACAGGGAGTGAGGAAAAATGAGCACAGGTTTCTTTTGGAGCTAATGGAAAGATTCTAAAATTAGATTACGGTGACGATTACAAATGGTTGTGAAATTACTGGAAATCACTGAATTGTACACTTCAAATGAATTTTATGGCAAGTAAATAGAGTTTTAAAAAGTACAACTAGAAAACGGGACCCTTAAAGGAGTGTTAATTAAGACTTTGTAATTTGAGGAAACACTTGTGATAAATGACAGATGGTTTTCTTTTTATTTTTTTAGAGACAGAGTCTGTGTCGCTGTCAGTAGAGTGCTGTGGCATCACAGCTCACAGCAAATCTCTTACTCTTGGGCTCTAGCGATTCTCTTGCCTCCGCCTCCCCAGTAGCTGGGCCCACAGGCGCCCGCCACAACGCCCGGCAATTTTTTGGTTGCATTTGTCATTGTTGTTTGGCGGCCCTGGCCGGGTTCGAACCCCCAGCTCCGGTGTATGTGGCCGGCGAGGAGCCGCTGACCACAGATGACAGGTGGTTTTCTGAAATGTATCCCTTCTACGTCCTGTGACACAAACGGGCAGGCACCAGCTTCCCTGGGAAGGTTCGTTCATTCAAGAGAAGTTTGGCCGGCATTACTCACACACAGGAGAGGCGCAGTTAAAATCCACAATCACAAGTGCCCCAAACCTCCCGGCGTTAGTTAGCCCGGGAGCGCTCCGGCCGCGGGCGCCGCAGCCACACCTACAGCGCGCCCGGGGCGGGGAGGAGACTGGGAAAGCCCGCCCGGAGCATGACAGGTGACTGACAGGTGCCCGACAGGAGCCCGTGTGCGGCGGCCCGCTGGGGTCTCTCGGAGGAGACGCGGCAGCCAGGAGCCCCGCAGGGGTCCTGCCCGGGTGGGCTGAGGACAGCACGGAGCCCGGGCTGCCTGAGGGAAGGGCGGGAGGGGCTGTGGGCAGGAAAGGAGGGGACCGGTCAGGTGCCCCCGGCGCGTGGCCTTCGGCTTAGATGACGGGCGGAAAGGGCCGCGGTGGACGGTTCTGGGCGGGGGGTTTCATCTCCGCGGGACCCTCTTAGTTGGCTGTTGTGTCGGTGACACGGTCAGGGCACCGGGCCGAGGGTGTAACGAGGGGCCACGCAGGTGACTTTCCAGGATCCCAGCACAGCTGACGGTGGGGCTTGGTCCAGTCTGGCCGAAGGGTGAGGATGGATGCATCCCGCGTTTATTTGAAAGTAGAGCCAAGCCGAGTAACGGATCAGGGGCGACTGCGAGACTATCAGAGTGGATCCCGTGACTTTTGACCCGAGTAACCGTTAGAATAGTGGCTGGCATAGGCAGGGTCCCCAAGGGGAGAAAGCCCGGAGCTGGCTACAGTTGGAGCCGCGGTGCTCCGCGTGCCGCAGCCGCGGCGACCCAGCAGCGCGCTCCTGCAGCGCCCCGCCGCTCGCGCTCAACCGACCCCGAGCGCCGGCGGGCGGGAAAACTCCCGCTCCCAGCGTGCCCCGCGGCCGGGCCGGCGTGCGCGTGCGCGGTAGCGGCTCGCGCTAGCGGGGGCGGCGAGGCGGTTGCTTCGAGTGTGCTGGTTTGCTCCCTGAAGGGAGTGAGGGCGGTTAGGTGTTGGCGACCAATTTCGCCCTTCTCGGTAAGTGCGGCTGCGGCGGCTGATGCCGGCAAGTGAGGGTCGGCTTTCTAGGGCAGTGGGAGCGCGCCCGACGGGCCGTCCGAGGCGCTTGGGGCTCGCGGCGTCTCTCCGCAACGGCTGTCGGCCGGGCCGGAGGCGTTCGGTGTAAGTTCGGGGCTCGTCCGCTCTGCCGGGCGGGAGGGCGGAGGGCGATCGGTGCGGACCGGGGCCGAGGGGGCCGACAGCGCCGCGCAGGCCGGGACGGTGGCCGGAGCGGGGCGGCCTCGGGGACCCCCGGGGGCCCGCGGCGCGGCCCGGCTCGCGCGCGCTCGTGGAGTAAATAGACGCGTCCGGTGCCGCTGAGCCCGCGGCCCTGCGAGCCCGCGTGTCGGCTTCTTCCCGCGGATTGTTTGGCGTGTGCTGTGGACCCGACCCGCGGGGAACTTGAACTCGGCACGCTGCGGCGCTTTGATTCTTTAGCGCGAGATACGAACGCTAAGTACATTCGAAACACTTCTGAGTCCTCAGGCCGGGTGGACGGATATTGAGTCCACACGGACCCCGCTTAACGGCCACAGCGTCCCTGACCTTCCCCCTTTCGCAGTTGGGGGCTTCGAACCCTCCCCGTCCGAATCCAGGGCAGGGATAAAACCCAGCCTCCAAGAGCAGGTGGTCTGGGGATTGTTTTATGAGACACTTTGGGGTTTCTGAAGTCGTCTGGGACGTGTGCACCACTTAGGAAGAGCAAACTGTTCGTCAAGTCTGGAGGGGAGTAGAGTTTTCCTTAAAAAAACACCCAAACCCGTGTGGGCAGAGGAGCAGAGCATTCTAGTTAGCGCTGGAGTGTGTGTATCTGATTTGATCCCTCCCCGCCCCCGAGCTCTCACTAAAATTATGGTAAAGGGATTTTCTTTAAAAGACGTAAACTTATAATGATGCAGAGTATGGGGAAAGAAACTAACAATCAAATAGTGGGCTCTAGAAAGCATGTCTGAAGAAGCCTTGGCTTCCAAACCAGAAGCGGAGAATGCTGTAGAACAATTCTGTGTTGACCATACAATGTAAACAGTGCTCAGAGCGCGGCAGCTCTGGACACCTGTGGGGCTGAGGGTGGAGGTGGAGCGGGCGGGGTGTGTGCATCTCAGATAAAGGTGACGTAAGGGAAATCTGGTGCAGAAGCAGTTAGACACTGGAGCCCCTTCCCTTTTTCAAACTGTTGGGTAACTGCCTTTCCCCTGTTAGAAGACTACATAGGACGGCGCCTGTGGCTCCAAAGGGTAGGGCGCCGGCCCCATATGCCAGAGGTGGTGGGTTCAAACCCAGTCCTGGCCAAAAAACAAGACGACGACTAAATAGAGCTTATTCTCTTGAGAAAATAAAATAGGATCTTTGAACTGGGGGACCCAAAGCATAGTAAGTTACAGGGCTACATTTATAAAACCAGGGACACTGAAGACTGAAATCCTTTGTCTTCTTTCTCCCACTCAACTCCCAGAACTTTTTCCCCCAGACTAGTACCCTCCAGCCTCAAATAAGAGAATTCGACAAATACACACGCAGATGTGGAAAGATACACAGTAAGGTTTGCCACAGTGGTTGCTTCTTGGAAGAGGGGTGGGGAAGAGCGTGAAGAAACCTCATTATTTATCTTTCCTTTTAAATTTTTTTTGTCGTGTGAATATATTACCTATTCAGAAATGAAATATCATCTTCATTTGAGGAAGGTCTATGGCAAGAAAATCGCTTGAGCCCAAGAGTGTGAGGTTGCTATGAACTATGATGCCACAGTACTCTACCAAGGGCAATACAGTGACACTCTGTCTCAAAAAATAAAATAAAAGAGAAATGTATTCTTTAAGAGATAAACTATCAATACACCCTTTGACACAACGATTCTTCCCCTAGGAATTTATCTTACAGCTATACCTACACACATGTGAAAACAATGTAAGTACAGTATATCTGGAAGAATATGAAAGAAGCAGATAATACTGATTACCCCTAGAGGGGGAATCTGATGATGGCAGGGAAAAGTGGAAACAAAGACTTTTTTACTGTTCCTTCTTGGTATCTTGAATTTTGAACCATGTTATTACCTAGTGAATTAATAAACATTAACTGGGAAATATGGATTAGTGATGGAGATCCTAATTGTTGATAATATCCTGAACAATATAAGATCTCTTGGAGTAGGAAGGAATGCTACGTAACAACCTCAAAATTTCAGTAGCTTACAATATTTTATGCTTATAGATCTTTGGGTCACCTGTTGTTTAGATCTTGGCTGAACTAGACCAGACTCCAAACTTTAGTTTTGGGTTCAGGTCTACTTGTATCTTCATTTTGGGACCCAGGCTGAAATGCAAAACTACCTGAAACTTGTTTTTCTTATAGCTGAGGGTGAAAGTTCAAGAGAGCTTTTGGAAATTTGCCACGCCTCAGCTCAGAAGTCACACATTGGAATACCTACCAGTATTCCGTTAATTAAAACAAGCCAAGCCAAAATTCAGTAGGGTAAAGATGTATACTCTTCAGAGGCACTACAGTCACATGGATGAAAACTCCATTACACGGGGAGAGGAAGACTTGGTTAGCTGTAATGATGAAGAAAATGGTTTAATAGAAGCCGAGAAGTTAAGTTGAGGATAGTTGGTTGAGAATGAGAATTCTTATTAAAAATGTGGTTTGTATGTATGCAAATTACTATTTTTAACAAGATGAAGCATCCTGCTTTAATATGAATTCTTTTAAGTCTTCTATTAAGATACCACATTTGCTTTATCTTATATAATATCTACTGGCCCTATAATTTTGAGTACTCAAAGAAACCTTGAAAATAGTGTTTAATTAAATAGTGTACATATAAAGACACCAGTTTTGGAGTAGTAGTTCTAAATGTTTTATTTCAGCTACTGAGGATTTGTTTATTCGTAGTTCTTATGTTCTGTCCATGTCTGCCAATTCACCTTTTACAACAGAATCTTCTTTTCAGGGAGCTGTCCTTTGCTACTCAGATGTAATGCACTTTAAGTTTGTTATTCAGCAGTGAAAATGAGTCATACAGAGGTAATATGTATTTTCATATGTTCTACATAATCAGGGTTCTTTTTTTTTTTTTTGTAATCATATGGCTTCAGAGTAATCTTATTTTCAACTGTCACTGTCAGAGGCAGTATAGCTTTAGTGGTTAAAAATGAGGACAGTCTACCTGAGTTTGAATCCTAGCTAGTGGCTATATAACCTTGGGTGATTTACTTAATCTTCTATGCCTTATCTATAAAATGGTGATGACGATAGTACTTCCCTCAGCATTGTTAGGAAGGTTAAATGCATTAATATGTATAAAGCACTTATAATAGTACCTGACATTCAGTAAGCTCTTTTTAAAATATTAATTATCATTACTTTTTATTTGGAGGCCATGACTTGAATCATGAACCTCACAGAGCAAACATACAGTTATTCAGTTGTCTGAATAGGCAAGGAAGTAATTTTTGATGCCTTTATTCTCTTGAATTCCAGGTTAAATTAAAAATACCTTTTGGAAATAAACTGCTAGATGCTGTTTGTTTGGTACCTAACAAGAGCTTAACATATGGAATAATTCTTACACATGGAGCATCAGGAGATATGAATCTTCCTCATTTGATGTCACTGGCATCCCACCTTGCATCTCATGGGTTTTTTTGCCTGAGATTTACCTGTAAAGGCCTTAATATTGTACATAGAATTAAGGCATATAAATCAGTTTTGGTAAGAAAATTTCTTTGTATTTACTTATAACAGAATTCTGCTTAAAATTCTTAATTTAAGACATTTGTTAGCAGTTATTTGGTTTAATTAAAAAAATCTTTGAAAATATTCTTAGAAAATCAGTAGTACGTGAAAGCTATTTAGTGGTCATATTTCTCTCTTTTGCTATCAGTTTCCATGGAGATGAATGCTTACATCATAAATGTTCCTCCATGACATTGCCAAGGAAACTACTTGTGATTTTTCTCACTAGAATTAATATAATTTTAGAATACAGTTTGGGCATTCTAGAGTATTTCTGGAATATTTCCAAAATATACTGTGTATATATGGTACAGTTTTCTATATATATTATTTAGAAATATTGCTTAAAATTTCTAGATAAAACTCAGATCTGAAATTTCCTTTAAATTATTTCAAGTTTGCTAATAAACTTTTTGGAACTTTAAGTTAGATGTTAGCATTTTTAACAGATCTGGTATTAGTTGGAAGCCTTTGTTGGCCTTTTTAAAAAATAAATTTTTCTTTAAATATAGTTTAGTGCTTAAATATTTTTATAAAAGTAAATTGACTTTATCCCTCACATATTTGCCTGTTTTTACCCAATATGTGATTCAATAATGAAGGCATGACCAGAATAGGAAAGAACTGGCTTACCTCTTTCAAGAAGAATCCCTTAAAATTTTGTGATTATCTTTGCATAAATTTAAACATTTCAGTAATGATGAAAAACAATATATCTTGGCTTTCCAGTTGAATATTTTATAGCAGAAGAATTAATTTTTTGGTTGATTTTTTTTTTTTCTAGAATTACCTAAAGACCTCAGGAGAATATAAACTTGCAGGTGTTTTCCTTGGAGGTAAGTTGCAATGCTTGTTAACTACCCATTTTAATATAGGGATATTTGAGAACTAAAATTGATAACAGGTAATTAAGGATTATATTTTTGTTTTGGCAAGCTACCTCCTTGATATAAAACTACTTTACATACTGTTTAAAGCAGATTTGAACCACATATATATTGTAATCTGAGGAGCTTTATTTATTTCCCTGTATCACCCTCTTCTAAGTCATGCTATCTTCCCCAGTATTATCCTCACCCTTTGAAGTATTTTTCAGAAAAATAATTGCTTGGTTTTTTTTAATTTGACTTAAGATCAATCAGTTTTTAGCTTTTCTCAAAACTGTAGGTGTCCATTATGGGTACTGCAGCTTATTAATTGCCACCTTTTGGAGTTTACAGGTGAACAGTAAATGAAATCTTATTCACCACACCATCACTACTACTTTATGTAGTGCTCGCTTCAAGAATGCATATACTAAAACTTCTGCTTTATACAAAGGTTTATATTACAAACTGAACTTAATTTTAATTGGTTTTAGGTCGTTCAATGGGCTCAAGAGCAGCTGCTTCTGTTATGTGTCATATTGAGCCAGATGATGCTGATGATTTTGTTCGAGGTCTCATTTGTATTTCTTATCCACTGCACCATCCAAAGCAACAGCATAAACTCAGAGATGAAGATCTCTTTCGTATAAAAGATCCTGTACTGTTTGTGTCAGGCTCAGCAGATGAAATGTGTGAAAAGGTGAATTACAACACAATGTTCAGTGTGAATGAGAGAGTATGAAAAACAAGTGTCTTGGGAACAAGATATTACCTGCAACATTCAGTCTCTTTTACAAAAGATGTTATGACTAATTCTAGTTTTGTGCCTTTTGTTAGCCTGTTGCTTTGGAGAACCTAAAAAATAAGTATACTGACAAAATTCATCTCCTGGAAAGAGGAGTTGGAAAATGTAACCTTTACTTGGGAAATGAAGGATTAATACCTGAATCTTCTCATTTGGGCATTATATTTGTTTTATCATTTCAATATTCAGGCAAATTATTATAAAATTGACTCTTGAGAAAGGGTTGGCAATGGCAATACATAATTAAATATTAGCCTTATATTATGAAATGGCTTTGTGTTTCTTATATAATTTCCTTGGGAAGGAGATTTTTCTGGAAAACTTTTTATCTGTAATGAGTGATCTGTTCTGTAGTATTGCTATACCTGAGAGAAATGGGCTGCCACTTCTGTGAATGTTCCCTTCCACATTTTATTGCCTAGAAAGTTGTCTATAGAGAAAGTATTTAATACATACTTGGTTAGTGGATGCCAGTGTAAGTGAGGGAGAGAGAATCTCTAATTAAATATCAATAGAACATTAGTTATCTTCTTCTTTTTTCCTTTAGAACTTGTTGGAGAAAGTGGCACAGAAAATGCAAGCTCCCAGTAAAATCCACTGGATTGAGAAGGCAAATCATTCCATGGCAGTGAAAGGACGGTCAACAAATGATGTTTTCAAAGAAATAAATACACAAATTTTGTCTTGGATTCAAGAAATCACTGAAATGGACAAGAAATAATTGTCATTAGTTAAAAGCCATGTTATTTTGAATACAAATACAGTTAATTTGATAAAGAACAGTATATCTACCAGCATTTTGAGATATACTTCAGACTAATTTAATGTTCTTTAATGTTCCTGTTTTTTAAACACCTTTAATTGTGAAATTAATGTCTTTCACAAAATGTCTTTTGAAAGCACTGTTATAGTTGTATAAAGATGATGTAAAAATATTGAAGGTGGTTTAAATATAATTTATTTTCATTAGTATTGTTAAGTTTTGAAAATTAAACATTTGAATTTTGTTACAATGGTGCTTTTGTCTTACTGATATGCAATTGAGAAACTATTAATTTTACAGTGCTATTGTTAAAAGAGGAAAACAAAAACTTACTGTAGCATATATAGTTAGTGATTTATAGAGGGTATACATATCACCTGAATCTTTTAACAAATTTGATTAAAGAGGAACAGAGACACATTTCAAATATGAAAACCCTAAATACTATTTTTAGCATGAAGTAACAACTGTCATTCACGTGTTTGCTGAAGGTCTGTTACAGGTAAACCTCATGAGGTTTGGAAAGATGAGTAAACACCTAGAGTTTATAACACAACTTGTGAGGCTGAGTGCAGTGGCTTACACCTGTAATCCTCGAACTTGGGGAGGCTGAGGTGGGAAGATTGCTCGGTTCAGGGGTTTGAGATCAGCTTGAACAACATAGATCTCTGTATCTACCAAAAAACAGTTAGCTGGGCATGGTGGCACATTCCTGAAGTCCTAGCTAAAGGTGGCTGAGGTGGTAGGATTGCTCGAGCCTTGTAGTAGAAGGTTGCAGTGATCTATGTCACCACTGTTGAACTCTAGCCTGGGCAAAGGAACCTTACCTCAAAATACTGAGATCAGTGGGTAAGACGACTGTCTAGTTAAGGTGAGAAATAATGGCTAAATAGTGGGATTTGTAATGGGATAAATAGTAGAATTAAATAATGGCTAACATTTGTACAGTATTCAGGCAGAGTTAGGGGCATTTAATTTTGCCTTAGGAAGTTTGGGTATCTCCTGAACTGGATGTTGAATAATGAGTTATATCGAAGAAAAAGTTTCTGGCCTAGGCCACCCATAGCTCAGTGGTTAGGCACTGGTGACATACACTGGGCCTCGCAGGTTAGATCCTGGCCTGGGCCTGCTAAACAGCAATGACAAACAACAAAAATAATAGCTTGGCATTGTGGCAGGTGCCTGTAGTCCCAGCTACCTGGGAGGCTGAGGCAAGAGAATCGCTCAAGCTTGCTGTGAGCTATGCCATAGCACTCTTACCAAGTAAGACAAAGTAAGACTTTCAAAAAAGAAAAAAGTTTCTGTACACAAAATTGGATGATGCTAATCTTAAATTTATATAGAAGTTTGTGTAAGGAATGGTTTTCTATGCTAAGAAATTAATCTTCCTTCCTAGACTTCATAGTGTTGTCATGTTAGGCCTTTCAGACAGCCTCAAGAGGCCTGGCTAGTATGCAGATTTTCAAGGTCCTTCACTGTTCCTGCCCTGGTAAAGTCAATAGTTTTAATTACTGTTATTTTTCTAAATATGGCACAAAGAATGAAAACCTAGTTGACAATGTCTAAATTATTCTTAACAGATAAAATCATATACAACTATGAATTTAAATCCCTATTATCAGTATGTAATTTTTTTTTTTTTTTTTTGAGAAAGAGTCTCATTTGTCACCCTTGGTAGAGTGCCATGGCATCACAGCTAACAGCAACCTAAACTCTTGGGCTCAAGAGATTCTCTTGTCTTAGCTTCCAGAGTAGCTGGGACTACAGGCGCCCACCACAACGCCCAGCTACTTGTAGAGATGGGGTCTTGCTCTTGCCCAGGCTGGTATCAAACCTGTGAGCTCAGGCAATCCACCTGCCTCAGTCTCCCAAAGTGCTAGGATTATAGGCATGAGCCCCTGCACCTGGCCCAGGATATACCTTTTTGGCTAAATCATTTCTTTAACAAGATCTGAGTTTTTTAAAATAGTGTATAATTGAACATTAGTTAATAGTTAAGGGTTGAAATTTTAAAACAATGCTGATATCAAAAGATTGTAAACAAAAAACATCCAGAGCTGTCAAAAATATCATCACTGGTTTCTTAAACATAAATCATTTGGGGGATATTAATACAGTAAACCAGAGGTAAAACTGAAGGGAAAAAGGAACATAAAAAGGACAACTTTTTTTTTGAGACAAAGTCTCACTTTGTCACCCTGGGTAGAGTGCCGTGGCATCATCAAAAGCTCAAAACATCTCAGTCTCTTGGACTCAAGAGATACTCTTGCCTCAGCCTCCGGAGTACCTGAGACTACAGGCATCCACCACAATGGCCAGGCTAGTCTTTAAAGACAGGGTCTCACTCTTGCTGAGACTGGTCTCAAACTTGTAAGCTCAAGCAATCTACCTGCTTCAGCCTCCCATAGTGCTAGGATTACAGGCATGAGCCACTGTGCCCAGCCTAAAAAAGACAGCTTTTTATGTAACAATATGAAAGTACGAAGTTAGGATATTTGAGTTTGTAAAATTAAACTATAGGCATAATATGGATGACCAAAGATTTTACTTTAAATTCAGGAATAAGGTAGATTATCATTTAAAGTTGATTTTTTTCTGCATTATCTATGAGAAACTACTATTAACAATTGGATGACTTGCCATTTGAAAACTATAAACCTAGCCATAATTGAGGAACATGTAATTCCTAGAGAATGTCTAAGGCTGAAACAAACATTTAGGAAAAGGTCCCATCTACTCACTGGCATAGATTCTTAAAAAAAAAATATTCAGCACTTTCAAGTTTGAGATGATGGTCAAAGTGCCATTCTGGGGTCCCTTCTGGCAGGCCCTAATTAATGGCATAGATACCCAGACCAGTGCTTCCCAAGTTGTTGGGGGGTAGGGGGGACGTTGGGATTTTACCCCCAAAGAGACTTTTGGCAATGTCTGGAAATATGGTTGTCATAACTAGGGTGTCAGTGATTTTACTAAATTCAAGGTGTTTACATTTTTCATTATTAGCTGAGACCATCCTGTATACTTGTGACAAAAATTGTAGGGCAGCACCTGTGGCTCAAAGGAGTAGGGTGCGGCCCCATATGCTGGAGGTGGCAGGTTCAAACCCAGCCCCCAGCCAAAAATTGCAAAAAAAAAAAATTGTATTTTCTCAGTTAGCTTCCAGGCCTCATCACTAGACTGAAGGAAAGAGAGCAGTACTGTATGTAGATCTGCCTCTGCCCCACCATTATGTCCGGACATCAGAAAGAACATCACAAATAGTTCCTTAGATCATCATAGGCAAGGTGAAGACGAAATGCACTGTGAGGCTATTCCAAAGACTAACTTTGGTTTTGGTTTTCTGTATATCAATAGATCACTGAAAGAGAATATTGCCAACAGACACTTCTAGCAAAAAGAAACATCAAATGAAGTGTTCTCTTTTAAGAAAAAGATCAGGCCCACAAGAGATGAATTATAAACAAAAGCAATGGGACACACTTAACTAAAACTTAAAATTGTTTGGCTCCCATAGTCTTAACTTTTTGTTTTTTAATTATCTGGCATTTATCTGAAATTAAATTTGGCATCTAATATTTTATTTGCTAAATTTGTCAACCCTACATTCCTTCTAAGAAAGAACCCTGTTTTTCCTGACCAGAGAGAAGTGTAACATACACTTTTCCTGATGGTAATAGAAATGGTTATGTCAAATGTTTTCTACCAATTCAAATTTATTCTATACTTTTTGAACTATAGGGCAGTGATAATCCAACTATTCTAAGGGATTATTTATAAAATTATATTGCTTTTTATAAAGTTCACAGCTAGTTTCTGGAATTTTAATAAAAAGCTACTACTTTTGTAACACTGTACATGTCTCACCAATGAACTTTCATTATTACTAAAGAAAGTTAATATGAGCTCAGTTAAATACCCACTATGACACGTACCTTACTTTACTTAGGATCCGAGCTATCACTACTGCACTTGGATAAGACACTGGGTGGCACTGGAAATTTTTTTCTGGCAGAGCATTGCACATGGTTATGAGATGGGCATACCAACTTTTTATGTTTGGGGGCATTGGAAATCAAGGACTTCTAAATGAGACTTAATCTTTTTCAAATATTATGTTAAAATGTCAAAGCCATATTACTTCTTTAAAAAGGGGGTGAATGTTGGATTGGAAGATAATACATTTTTGACATTATGGGAACTTCTAGAGTCTTGGATTATCCAAAATGATTGGATGGCAATCTTCTTTATAATTTTCATAGGAATTGTTTTTGAGATTATACTCATAAAAATATTTTCATCCTTTTGGAAGAAATCTACAATTCTAGAAGATAGTAGTAGTTCAGATACCCAAGAGGTAAGAATGAACAGTAGTTTTTTCTTTGCCCTATTTTTCAAAATATGACAATGATTTATAAAATTTTTGAATTTTGATATTTCTATTACTCATCTAATATTTTATATTTTCCCTTAAAATAGAATGAAGACAGTTGTCTGGAAAGCATTAAATTTGGTAAATATACAAATTTTACATTTTTTTAATTCTTTATTAAATCATAATTGTGTACATTAATGCATTTATAGGGTACAATGTGCTGATTTGATATACAATGTGGAATGCTTACATCTAACTGATTAACATAAACATCTCCTTGCTTATTTATTTGTTGTGGCAAAAACATTCACACCCTATTCTTAATAGTATAGAAATATATCATTGCTTTATGCACATTGGGTGGGATCCCCCCAAACACTCCCTCCTCCCGGCCTCCCCCCTCCCCTTCTCTCTCTTTCCCCTTCCTGCCTTCTTCCTGGACTATAGTTATGTTTTACCAAACTTCTCTTATTAATACTATGATTTTATATTTCCCATTTAGCTCCAGAGAATTGGTCAGTTGTTCATTCATCTTCAGAAGAAAGGTAAGTACATTTTGAAGTTAAATAAAATAGGTGGGTTATGTTCTATTCAAAATTATATTTACTTCTGAATTTCAGAAGAGTTTTTCTTTATATGCAGAGGATCACAGCTATTCAACATGATTCAATCTAATATCTTTTTTAAATGGTTACTGTCTTCCAAGCCATGTTAAGGGATTTCCATATTAATGAAATTATCCTTCAAGGTAGGTAGGATTGTTTTTATAGATGAGGAAAATGAAGCATGGAAAGATTTATTGTTTTCCTACTCTCTCACTTTCTCCAATACACACACAAAAGTTCTTTTAATTAAATTGAAAGATATTTATTTAGCACCTACTGTGGACCAAGCAAACACTGATCTGGAGGCTGCAAGAGTAACATGCAAGGAATCTATAAAATCAGAATTTATCAGCAGTGTAAGGGATTAAATATTGACATATCTCTACTCTTATTATTATCAGTATTTTGTTTTAATTGAAATCCATTCAACAATTATTAGATATTCACTAAATAGTAGATAATGTTTGGGTGGCACCTGTGGCTCAAAAGAGTAGGGTGCT